ACCACTAAGAAGGCTTCTCCAGAGTTGTTCCCTTAGAAACTGGCAGAGCCAGAGATTAAAAACACATTCATTTGACTTCTACTCTACTCTAACTCTTGTCAGTGCTGAGAAAACTCAAAGAAACAATCATGACTAATCCTATTTATTTTAGTACTTACTATGTGCCAGTCCTTATTCTAAGCATATTTCATGTGTCGGCTCCTTGTATCCTCATGAGAACCCTGATGAGGAGGAAACAGAAGTATAGGAAAATCTAGTAGCTTGGTCAAAATTACACAGCTACCGGGTGTTGGAGTAAGGATTTGAATCCTGGTAGCCTGGCTGTTCTCTGGCCACACTGTCAAGAATAACATCCTGAACTACATAAATCAAACTCTGAGCTGGCCAAGCAGTCTTAGCAGAATCTTCAATGTTTATGCATGGGGGGTTGTAGCTGGGGAAAGGGGCTGAAATGGGACAGTTAAACTGGAGAGTCCCAATCAGAGTAGACTGAGTCCTGGAAAAGCCAGTGTCATGGAGGTTTGATGGGCCCTGCTCTCACCTAGTGTTATTAAAGCTTAGCCTGTAGGCAATAAAGCTTAACCATGGCTCCAGCCACCAATTCACTTGTGGTTTAGCATCAAGCCTTGGCCTAAGCCTCTGGTATCAGAACAGTAGGAGTTGCTGGAGTCCCATCCCAGGGATTCCCTAGAACCTAACGTTCAGCATGCTTAGGGGGATTAAACAATGCTGAATGAGGCAAGAGGGAGAGGACTGAGTGGGGAGTCCAGGACCAAAATAACTTAGGGGGGCTGTGGGTCACGATTTCAATGTTTCCACAGAGCTGTGGGAGGAAGTTCTCCAGTACCAAAATAGCTGGAGGCTGAGATGGGGTGATGGTGGGGGCTAGGATGGAGAGGCTGCCTAGAGCCATCTCCCTACCAACTCGATGTCTCTGAAAGCTGTGCCTTCCTCCTCCTTGTCACTATTGACAGAAAGAGCCTTCTGGGACACTCAGCCCTCACTGGAGGGATACCTCTTCTGCAGAGATCTCTGATACCCTTGCTGCCCCCCACAGAGGGTCTGGTTGCCTTAGGGAGGACATGGAGTCATTTCCTATCATTGTAGAAATTATATACACCAATTTAGGCAAGGGTCCTGGGCTCTTAGAAGAAGAGAGAGAGGCCCCATTTCCCATACATGACAGCTTATACAGCAATGCAGGCAAAGGACCAAACCTCCGGGAGACAGGAGAAGAACCTCAGGTCTCATCAGTGCAACCTCAGGCATCACTGCAGGTGAGGTACTTGAGCTCCAGAGAACTGTAGTGGTCCTCAGGCCCCTATCCTTCTCCACAGAAGAATGGTTATGGTTCAGCTTAGAGGCCAAATCTTGCCACATAGGTAGAGCTGGATGATGTCACCCCTCTAGACAATTTTGTATCACTTCTTTTCTTTTCTCCCTGTGAGAGTCTCCTATTATCTATGCTGAGAGGCAGGATTCAAACATAGACTTGAGAGAGCTACTGGGATACAATCTGATTTCAAGATTGGTTTCTTGATTTAACATAGAACTTTGTCAGCCCATAGCTTCCCATCCTGTATGGTAGCTGTGTACCCTCAGCCTCCTCTAGCTGATATGCATTGTCCCACTGAAACTTTATAATATAAACAATTAACTCTGGAAGTTGTCTTCTAGTTTCCAACAGAGAGCTTCTTGTGAGTCAACTCTGAACATGACCAGGACCTAGTCAGAGTCTAGGGTCCCATGTAAACAGCCTACTAGGATTGACTCAACCCGTGACTTAGAGACGATCACATCCTTATTCCCAACATGAATGAACACACACACACACATGCACACACACGCACACAAGGATGATAATATGCATGTGTATCCATCATCCAAAAGGATCAGTCTAAGCTCATTGCTTTGCTCTTTGCCCTAAAAAAAAAAAATGCATAATGAACACATAGCATTGACACAGCCTATATTTTGTACACTGTAATTTTAAAGACTCACAATGACTTGCTTGGAAAATTTAGATTGGATTATTCCCTTCTTAAAAAGGCGACACATGAGAGACAGAAAGGAAAAAATAAACAGGATTTGCTGAAGGTTAGAGCTCGATTCATATTTACATTCTTACCAAGGGCATATGGCATTACTCCTGAAGGTACTGCCCAGATTTCTAGGTGGAACTGCCCCCAGATGCCATACTTTACTTCCAAGACTAAGATTAGACCACTGATAACCATTATGCATTTACTGAAGTAATCCTAAAGAACACAATGCTGGGAAGGAAAGCCATGCCACTAAAGGAGCAGCTTCTTCCCTCAGATGTCTGTGTGCAGAACATGATCCTTCCAGTTGACACTTGAGAGACCCAACTATGATCATTATAAAAGGTATGCATGTCACCTAATGCTTATCATGCATCTGAAATGATTGTGTACTTTAACTCTCTGAATCCTGGTCACAGTTCCAGAAGGCAGATATTATGATTATTGTCACTTGACCGATTAAAACAAGAAACAAAAAGCAAGATACAGAGGGACTAAATGTCCACAATCACACAACTGATGAGAGGTAGGAGAGATTCACACTCAGGTGATACGATAGTTCCAGAGGCTATACTGTTGATGTTGTAGTCTATATATCTGGAAAAAAACCCACATGAGTTAGGTGAAGTCCCTCATTCATTTAAGAAAGATCCACTGTGTACTTACTATGAAGGGGTGCTGTTCTAGTACTGTGGGAGAAGCTTATCTTCAAGGGAAGAAAGGCAGTAATAAAACTGTCAGGCAAGGACACCAAAGGGGAAAATAAAGCAGAGTTGTTGTGATAGGGTCTGTAAGAGAAGCAGGCATGGGTTGCTCCCAAGGGAAGGCATCCCTAAGCAGGTTGCATTGGATAATGTCAGAAAGGAAGTGTGAGAGTGGGCTACACAGGGATATAGATTAGAAACTATCACAAGGAGCAAATATAGAGGTACTCCCTAAGAAGAGACAAGCGTGGGGCCATGGAGAAATGATAGACATGTGTCTATGGAGCGGAATTTTTAAAAAAGCAAAATAAAGGACTGGAAAAGTGTCCTTGTCACCCTAAAGGGGTTGTTGGCTTCCTCTCTGTGAAAAAAAAAATGAGAAGTCAAAAAAATGTATGAGGCTGAGTAACATGTCCAGACTCCAGACTTCATGTCTCAGGAAAGTTCGAGATCCACCACTGGGAGTAAATATAAGACTTTTCACAAATGCTAAACTCCATGAGTAGTAATTTATTACATCTATAAAACTAGGAAAAAAAAACCTTTGAGGGCTATTGATGATAAGTATATTTGAGGCACATAGAAGAGACTCAGCTATTCTCTGGAAGCGGGGTAGTGGGAAGTTTTTCCATCACTTCTCTCCCACAGGAGTCTCATGCTATCCCTGTTCTGTGTTGCAGATTCTCAGCTGGCTGAGTGTCGGGGGCCCCCTGAAGTTGAGGGTGCCCCCCTCTTTTCACTCACTGAAGAGAGCTTCAAGGCCTGCCACCTGACTCTGACCCTGGATGATTACCTCTTCATCGCATTTGTGGGCTTTGTGGTCTCCATCGCTTCTGTAGCCACCAACTTCCTCTTGGGCATCACAGCCAACTGCTGTCACCGTTGGAGCAAGGCCAATGAAGAAGAAGAGATTTGACACAGGTGCCTCTCATCCCTCCATGCTGCTGCCACTGCTGCTGACCACTGGACACCTTGTACCACGGTGTCCTGGCCACCTCCATCATAGCTCAAACAAGGTTGGAAAGCTAACTTTGTATGAGCGTCTATCCACTTTGGGCCAGGCACTGTGCTAGCAACTGGGAATGAAAGACAAATTCAATTTGGTCCCTGCCCTTGAGGTACTTACTTCTAATAAAGAAAAGCAATTCCAAAACATCCTTTTATGACAAAATGCCAGTGCTCTGAGCACAGAGTGAGGGAACTCAAGCCGGAGGGTCCATCATCTGTGCCTCACAAAGTTCAAGAAGAATTGCAGGAATTATCTGCTAAGTAGATAGGGAAGGGGTAAACATAGCAAATGATAGAACAAAGTATGCAGGTTGTGTTGAGAGCAGCACACTATTCCTTGTGGTATGTGAGGTATGTGGAAAGAGGAGGTATGTGCAAAGCAAAGCTTTCCCTCTGACACCCACATTTTCAGTTCCCACTGCTGCCTGCCACTGCCCTCCAGGAGTGAGATAGCCTCCACCAGGAGTGAGATAGCCTCCATGCCAGACACCTTGACCTTCTCCCTGTAGCAGCTTCGGAGTGAAAGGACCTCCCAGTGACTTCCCTATACTGCCCCAATTACAGTCTAATTGTGAGGTAATCACCCTCAGCACCCTTCCTCCTATCTCTGTCTCTGCTTCTGACTCAAGCCTTGTCTTCAAAGAAAAGGCAGGAAGCCTCACAATAAGGCAGCAAAAGTCTTGGCACCCTGGGACCCTAATTTATGTGACTGTTCTTTCCATGGTGCTCACACCAAAGGAACTCACCAGGAAAGTGCACTGTAGGGTGAAGATGCTAGCATGAGAGTATCCCAGGCAGGAGGACAAATCCACCACATTCATGCCCACAGGACGATATGTCTTCTTTCCTTAGTAACTTGCGCGATTGAGCATAAAGGAAGAATAGCTATTAATTGCTGATTCTTGCCAGTGTCAGGCAATGTGATAAGCTCCCTCCTCAACAGTTTCCTCTCAAATATACAACAGCCCTTTCAGGGGGATTTATTGTTCCCATCTGGCAGATGAGGTCATCAGGCTCAGAAAAGATAAGGTAGCATACTATGTCATGATCAAAATAAAATCAGTATTCTTCATCACAGTTCTTTCTAAAGCTACATAAATTCAAGTTCAAGCCATGCTAATGAAGTTGCTGATAAGGACCAGGCACTCCTCTGGCGTGGTTCTATTTTCTGATTCATCTCTTGCCATTCTCAATGCCAAGTAGTTTTTGTCATTCCCACTTTCCAGTTGAATTCATTGTGCAGAGCCGGGGTGCTTATCCAAATTATCTGTATAAACAAAGAGTATGACAGGTGACTCCACTGAGGAAACTTATATCTAATCAGTCTGACACTAAGGACTCTGTGGAGAACACGATGCTCACCGTCTTTGTCATCATCTTCATCTTCCTCATCCAAGTCACCTGCTTCACCGTGATCTTCCCTGTCTCCTTGGGCACTGGAAAGTCTAGGATGCTTGTTTTGTATTCACCTCCTGTGTGAGAAACAAATCAAAATGCTGTTTTACAGATGGAAAAATAGAGGCTAAAGGTTGGGCATGCCTTCAGCCTAAGGCTGGACTCAGTTCTGTCATGGTTCTCTTTCCGGTGCTTCCTCAGGCACCTGGTGAAAGAGAATATCCTGGAAGCTTGCATAGCAGGACTCTAGAATTCAGCACTCATTATAACAATAATAATCACAAAAAAAAAAAAAAAACGTTAGAAGGCAGTAAAGCCCAGCTGTGCCCAGACTGTGCTCCCAGTGGGGCAACTCCAGCCTCTAAAACAGAGGCACCACAAGTGATATCTAAACAGAAGATGCCTCATTAACAGTATATGAGCACATCATTAGAATGGGTGACTGTGATTACTGTCTTTTTCCTTTTTTAATCAGATCTTTGAAAAACAGGAGATGTACCTCCTACTGTGTTGTGTTGCAAAAGAAACTGAAGGATCTGAGAAAGTGATAGGTGAAGACCCCTGTACAGGAGATGGGGAAACCCATCTAGGAAGGCCCAGTCCTGTTAGCAAACTGGCTTGGGTAAGAAAATGAAAACAAGAGCTTTCTATCTTGGATCCAACCCTAGCAAGCATCCATCCATCATCTGCTCCCCCACCCAGCTGCCCTAAAATGCATGGAGAAGGAGAACATGTCATATTCCCACTCATCTGCATTGATCTAATCAATCAAAAGAGAATCTGGAAGCTTCTCTCCTTGCTCTTGCTTTTAATGCCTAGGCCAGAGCTCTGCTCTTATGAAATATGACATAGAACTATGCCCTGCTCTTCCTGACCACTCAACTGTGGCCAACAATGGTAGACTTCAGCTATTATCCACAAGCTAAGCTTATTGCATAAAGTGTTTTGGAAAGGAATTTATAGAAATAGTATTTATGATAAAAAAAATCATTTAACTCTCCATAGAAGAACACCATGCTCACTTATAGTAATCTCCTGAACACTACTGTTTACTGAATTATAGTTACTATATTTTAAGATATACTACTGTTTTACATAGAATTAGAACCAGAAAAGACACCAAATGCCTCTTGAGATCAAATGTTCTTTTGAGTAGCACAATTTGATCTCCATTAATGGCAAAGTCTTCTAAGCAAGATATATCAAGACAATGTTTCTCCAGCTTCTAAAAGGTCCCCAGTTAACTAAGGCACAAGAAGAGGGACATTCAACTTCCACACTAACATGGAATTATAATACTACCACCATCTTGTTCAGGCTGTCAGAACTAAGTGTCTAAAAATAGTCTAATAATCCTTAAGGCAAATGTTTACATATCCTGGTAATGACGAGCCCATTATGATGTTCCCATGAAGTTTTGTTCAGGTTTTTCCACACTGGCTAATGTGGGATCATTTGTTTGTCCATATGTGTATCTATGTTTCATTTGTGTTGGCTATCTGCTGACTTGAAGAATATTCCTTTGGAACTTGAGTTCAAATCTCTGACACAGTACACTCAGCTATCAAGTTGGTACACAAATATGAACCTTAACCATTTGTCTAGCTGCTTAGGAAATATGAAAAGAGCCAATGCTATAGTGGTAACAATCTAATGAGAACCTGGCTCCTTCCTATTTCTCTCTGTCCTCCTCTATCCCCTAGAGACTTGTACCCTTCATAGAGGTTTTATTTATGCTGTGTCTGAAGATATCAGATCATAACTAACCAACAAGATTATGGTGGTCAAGGGCTAGCCAATAAAATTCTTCTTTAGAAAAGATCCCACATCTGCACCACATTATTCTGGACCATGCCCCTCTGGTTATCCTCCAGATACCAACTCCCTTTCCATTTTTACCAGTATTCCCATGGAAACTTGAAGAAATAGGTTGCCCAGAGATGCTATGGAGTTTCATGGTCTCAGTTTAGGGTTTGATTATAATGTGTTTGAAGAGATCAGGACATGTATTTCATTGCAACCTTTAAAAAAGGCCAATGGCTCCATTTTCTCCATACATATATATGCTGTCATTCTTTCCAGTTGTAGAAGAGCACAAAAAGATATCTTGTTCATTCCTCAAAGCTGGGGAACCTTGTCTTGTTTTGTATACTCCAGAAGGAGGCAAAAGGAAGTAAATGAGGCAAAACCCAGAAACCTTTTGTAAATCATGGCACTGGTTGTGAGCTGGGTCCATAGACCTCTCAGTTTTCCTAAGCCCTGATGTGGTGGGAGGGTTAGGGAGGAGTTGGGAAGATGCCAACCTTTGTATGGAAATTATTTTATAACCATGCACTTTTGTAACTGTGAAGAATTTTTCATAAATGCACATTAATAATAAAAAAGTATATAGTTTAACGATTTTTTAAAGAGTTGTGAAGAGAATGGGGGGAAGAGAAAAGGAGAGATAGAAGGGAGCTAGGCAGAACCAAAAGAATGTGTGCCAAAATATACACACAAAAGGTCTATGGGGAGGGAGTCGATGGGAATAATTAGGAGATGTGCCAGCCATGGAGGGGCATGTGTGGGAGGAAAAGACACATCACAGAAGCCTATTTCTACCAAGTTTTTTTTTAAAAAAGTACATGCATTTCTTTATGCACATACTCCTGTGTGTAGGCATATTTTGGTATCTGAAATTAAACAAAGCAGACAGCATATGTTTTAGACATGTTGGTGTTTGCAGTTTGGGTCATCCATAAAACATGCCAAGGCAAGTGGGAGTACTTGCCTAATTAGCATCACTGAGAAGCATGTGCTAGGGAGATGGCCCATGCCAACAACATGGATAAAAAAGATAGTAACTTGGATATACAGGTAAATTTACTCTGTGACAGCTGCTATCCAAAGCACTATATGTGGATTCATTCATTTGATTCTCAAAAACCCAAGATAAAAGCTAAGTACAGTGGTACACACCTGTAATTTCAACCCTCATGGTCATGAGTTCGAGGACAGTCTAAGCTACATAACAAGATCCTGTCTCAAAATAAAGAAAAAGCTAATTTCTATTATCTTAACATTATATATAAGGAGACTGAGATTAGTATATTAATATTCACATAGCATATGTAACTTGCATGAGTAGATCCGGGTTTAGAGAGTAACATATTGCACATGACTACTGACTTCCTAGGATAAAAAAAGCAGAAGAAGTTTAAGGAGTTACTCTCTTAATCAGAAGTAAGCTTTTAGTCACAAAAGTCCCCTGTTGTTGCTGTCTCCTTGGTATGTATGAAGGATCAAGTCCAGATGTCCCCTCTTGCACAGCAAATCCCATGGTTACTGAATCACTTATAGACATCCTTCCTTTATACCTTAAATCACCTCTAGATTGCCTATAAAGCCTAATACACTATAAACTCTGCATAAATATTCACTATGATGTATTGTTCATAGAAGGATAGAAAAAATCTATATAGTATTCAGTATAGAAGCAACTGAGATTTTTAATATTTTTGATCCTTAGTTGGTTGAGTCTATAGATGAGAAACATGAAGCTAAAGAATACCAACTCTACAGGGTGAAAGAAAATTGAAGAGCATAGACTGGTAAGATGACCAGTAAAGGTAAAGGTGCTTGTCATTAAGCCTGAGGACCTGAGCTTGATCCCTAAGGACCCACATGATGGTGGAAGGACAGAACTAACTTCCACAAATTGTCCTTTGACTTACACACACACACACACACACACACACACACACACATGGGGGATATAACTGTAATATGAAGTATGATGAATAAAACAACTAACAACCTATGCTTTAATAAATGTATTTTTCCAGGTAGGCTATAAGGTATACAACAGGTAATTCCCAAAATCTCAACAGAATAAACATTTGTTTACTAAAGCATTTAACACAGTAGACACATTTCTGACTCATGGTATTTCAAAGCGTGTCAAAGTCTCTGTTTCACATAGCCATTCAGAAACCCAGAATCCTTCCTTCTTGTGGGTATCCCATTTTTGATGCTTTTACCAAATCCTCTGCCTTATGGAAGATCTCCAGGGAAATGTGGAAAGTAAGAGCCGAAACTATTAACAACAATTCCAACCATTGTTAGTCATCCAAACACAGGCTATTGACTCCTTACTTCAAGGATATGAACTTCTATGCATCTAGAAGGCAAAGAAAAGACTTTAGTCAGCATTGACAGTTTCTAACATTGTCTGCAGTCACCAAATACCTATTTCAGTGTCCTTTACACAAAAAAAAAACCCAGCTTAAAGCAGAGTAATGATCCTCTTCTCTCTGTCAAATGCCCTGGTGATCCAGTGACCTATGAACAACAAAGGAAGGTTATTTGTCCCTGCCCAAGCCCTCCCACTTGACATACACTCAACACATACTAGCAACATAGGAACAGAATAACTGCAAATTAAAACCAGAGTTGGAACACAGGGGCCACTCAGCATCTTTAGGTCTATTGCAATTGGGGGATCCCACTGGGTAAGCAGCTTAAAGGCCTGAGATCACTCCATTTACAGCCAGCCTCCTGCTGGTCCAAAGCATTACAGCCAGAGATTCATTTTTAGGCCTCCATAGTTAAAATATTTTTGAAACCAGGTTTATGCTTCCTTAGCAATTTACTTGTCTTAACATGTTAGTAAATTTTATTCTTATTTTCCATCTTAAGTTCTATGTTTCAACACAGGCATAAAGGTCTTTCCAAAAGGTGTTTTCAGGCCCACCTTGATGTTCTTACTGTCCTCTGTTGTCTCCCTCCTCTGACTGTCAACACTACAAGTATCTGAAGCAAAAGTTGAGAATAGAGCACTCCTATTCCTGTCCTTTCTAATTGGCTAACTTGTCCTGAGTATCCGCTAGATTTGATCTCATGTAGTTCTAGAAACAGCCAACTTTTCTGCATTTCCAATCCCTTGGTTTTTTTGTGGGTTTTTTGTTTGTTTGTTTGTTTGTTTGTTTGGGAGTGTTTTGTTTTGCTTTACTTTCTCACACTTATCTCTCCATTTGATTCAGAACATTTTAGTTGTGTATTTTAAGCTGCTTGAAAACTAATTAAACCATTTTTCAAAACCCAATTTGGATCCATTTGATCTGAATCCACATGAAATTGTACAACATACAACTTCGTGAAGATGACAAACACCTTGTTCAACTCAGTCGTGATAAGTAGGAAAGTAATAAAGGAAGGACTGCCAAGCTACAGGATGAACCTGTGTGTAACTGCCGTTTCTTTTGTAACGGCCGTCGGGTTCTGCTACTTTG